AGCTGTCAGAGGTGGGAGAGGAGTAGTTATGGCTTCTACTGCCATGTATGAAACCTCATCCTGTAGGTATTCACCCATCCTCCTCTTACTCACCACGCCTTGCGGGGAGGGCAGGTGATGGCGGCGACAGTGAATTCTAGCTTCTGATTCCCCAGAACCAGCCCCCGTCCCACACTGTTGCAATGTCCTGGGGGTCTCTAAAAATGCCTTCCACGTACTGTGTCCTGACCCATCCCCAGCCATAGCTTTCTCCCCAGAGCAGACCACCTCCGAGACCAAGATCTGAGTCTAGTCGCAGAGTAGTTTAAAACACTGGGCTGTAGAATACAAGATTATCTCCCTTCCTCCCTACCTCAGGTTCAAATGACATCCTCTTAAGTCACTTGAGAGGGCTTTTCAGCAGCTGGATGTACTAAAGATTTTGACTTCACTTCTATTTTCCAAAGTTTATTTGGCCTTAAGGTATGGAAAACATCCAATCTGCTACCTTTACACTTCTTTATGATTTTTCTTTCTTTTTCTTTTTCTTTCTTCCTTTCTTTCTTTCTTTCTTTCTTTTCTCTTTCTTTCTTTCTCTCTTTCTTTCTTTCTCTCTTTTTTCTTTCTTTCTCTCTTTCTTTCTTTTCATCACATACCCTTGTCTATTCTTGGTTCACTTGGAAATGGTGAACTTGGAAGAGGAGGAGGGAAGCATCCATGTCTGACTTCTCTTACCTGACACTTTGGCTTTCCAAAAGCCATTTGCAGTTTCCAGGCTTTCTTGCTGTCATGTTACCTTGTGGCTTGAGTCAAAAACAGTGGAAATAATTTGTGTTATTTTTACCCTAGAAATATGCGCAGAGCATGTAGGAATGTATAACGGTGCTTTTTCCATGGGTATCACATTCGTCGAGATCACTGTTTTTAACCCATACTGAACATGTAAAATCCTAGAACTCGCTGATCTATTTTAGTAGGTCACAGGAAGCATGCAAACCGTAGAAACCACAATCAACCAAAACATCTGTGTTGAAAAAAGGGCAAGAATTTATCTCCTAAGGGTGGCAACCGAACAAATCCCATCACAAATAAGTAAGGGAGTTAGTTGGAAGGGGAGTCATCAAAGTAACCTGAGGCTGGTTGATAAACTTTCCCCGTCTTCTTGATCAAGTGAGAACCTAGTGACAAAAAAAAAAAAAGAAGTTTGACTTAACTGACTTAATAGCTGAGTGATTATTAACGATGCTCCCCCAGATCCACTCTGATTTACCAGGAAGCTGACACCTGTTGGCTACGTCAGCTGGACTCCAGCTTCTCCCTCTTCTTGTTGGGTTCGGGCACTGGCAGGAGGTCAGAGGACTTCTCTTCTTGCTCTCCTCCTGCCCTGTGGAAGTTCTAGCAGCAGCTGGGTCCTTCTATCTCCAGCTCGCAACGGGGATTGGGCGATATTTATTCGTTTGGCCCTTCAAGCGTAGGGTAAGAGTTCCCACTAGTCTTTGGACTTCTCGCCACCTATTGGTTCTCTTCACACTGCCCACCCTTCCATACGTTCGCTCAGCCTTACGCTGGGTCTTCGAATTGTCGTCCGAATGTGCCTTCCGTCTGAATCTGTGCCTTCAGATTCAGATTCTGGCTCTGCCACCCCCCTATCTCTCTGCCTCTCTCTGTTTATAAAGCAAGGCTGGAGTCGGTGATGTCTAGTGCGAAGACAGAAATCAACAAGGGCAAAATTCTGGGGCCTTGACCTTCCCCATCGCAAACTGTCCCAAAGGAACCAGCAGCAAGAGGCCCCAGTGAGGGCATTCCATAAAGTGGGCACAGACCCAGCATCGCTGGGTGAGTACGATCTGTTTTACCATTGAAATCTCAGAAAGACCCTTCTGACCACATTAGGGACCAAGTGGAGAACTTTTCATGTCCCTGACCACGCCAGGAGCTGTCTTCTAAGGAGAGACCTGAGGCCCTTCTTTCTTCGCACAAAAACCAGGTCGTATGCAGGATACATGGTTACAACAAATGGAAATCCAGAAGGGCCCCCCAGATTTCACGGAGTGTTTTATTGTTGTCGTTAGCCACTGTTCTGTTGAGTGCCTACTTCATACCAGACACTATACTAGTTGCTTTGTATCCATTGAAGCCCCACCGACCCCGGAGGCCTCGTTATTCCCAGTTTATAGTTGGAGAAGTCAAAGCTTAGAGATACGCCAAGGCACAAGCATAGGCACTCAGATCTCCTGAATCCCAGAAAGTGTGTGGAGCCAACTCAGGTGACCCAATGTTCCCTCTGGGACCTGAGGAATATTCCTAAGTACAATTGCCTAAATTGCAGAATTCGCCCTGTCTTTGTCTTTCCTTTTTTTATTGTGACAAAACAAACATAACACATTACGTTTGCGTCACATGAACTCTTACGATGTCTCTTTGTCTTTTTTTATTGTGGCAAAACAAACGTAACACCTTATGTTTGCGTCACATAAACTCTTACGATTTTAACCACTTTTGAGTGTACGGTTCAGTGGCGTTAAACACGCTTGTGACATTGTGCAGCCGTCACCATCATCCATCCCCAGAACTCGTCTCATTTCGTAAAACCAAAGCTCTGTACCCATGAAACATGAGCTCCCCATTCGTCCCTCACCCAAGCCCCTGGCATCCACCGTCCTACTCTCTGTCTCGACGGTTTTGACTAAGTATCTCATGTCTCATGTAAGAGGACTCATCTGGTCTTTTTTGTGACTGGCTTATTTCACTTGGCATAATGTCTTCAAGGTTCTTCCGTGGTGTAGGCTATGTCAGGATTTTCTTCTTTTTGAAGACCGAATAATATGCCATAGTATGCGTGTGCCGCATTTTGCTCGTCCATTCATCCACGTTGGAGCTCTCGTAAATAATATGGCTATCAACATGGGCATATAAAGATCTCTTCAAGACCCTGCTTTCAGTTCTTTTGAGTACATAACCAGAAGTGGAATTGTCAGATCCCATAATAATTCTACTTTTACATTTTGGGGGAACCACCACACCGTTTCCTACAGCAGCAGTACCATTTTTACATCCCCATAAGAGTAAGCAAAGGTTTCTGTCTGTCCACACCCTCCCCAACACTTGTTATTTTCTGTTGTTTGGATAGTGGCCATCCTGATGAAGTGTTGTCTCATTGTAGCTTTGATTTCCATTTCCCTGATGATCAGTGGTATTGAGCATAGCACGTGCTTCTTGGCCATTGGTGTATCTTCTTTGAAGAAATGTCGATTTGAGTCCTTTGCCCAGTTTTGAATTGAGTTGCTGTTTAGTTGTTGAGTTTTAGAAGTTCTCTGTCTAGTTTCAATACAGCTTCTCCTGAAAAAAATGTCCCAAGTGCCTTTGAGAAGAACACATAATGCTATTATTCTTGGATAGAGTACTCCATGTAAGTCTGTTAGATCCAGTTGGCTTATTGCGTGTTCAAGTCCTGTGCTTTCTTATTCATCTTCCATCTGGCTGTTCTATTCATTATCAAGAACAGGGTATTGAAATCTCCAACTATTATTGTGCAACTGTCTTTTTCTCCCTTCAGTCCTGTCAGTTTTTGCTTCATATATTTTGATGACCTGTCATTAGGTATAGATACTCATAATTGTTATGTCTTCTGACTGTATTGAACCCTGTAATATACAACATCTGTCTTGATCTTCTGTAAGCTTTTTTTTGATGTAAAGTCTATTTTGTCAGGGCCTCCTGGTTGGCTCGGTTAAGGGTCTGACTCTTGATCTCAGCTCAGGTCTTGATCTCAGGGTCATGAGTTTGAGTCCCACGTTGGGCTCTGTGCTGAGTGTGAAGCCTGCTTAAAATAATAATAATAATGATAATAATTATTATTGTTATAATAAATAAAGGCTATTTTGTCTGACATTGGTATAGTCATCCCTGCTCTCTTTTGTTTAATATCTTTTAGTTAATATTTTTCTCCATCCTTTCACTTTCAATATATTTGTGTTTAGACCAAAAACGAGTCTCATGTTGACAACATATAGTTAGATCAGGTTTTGTTTTGTTTTGTTATTCATTCTACCATCTCTCTATCTTTTGATTGGAGAATTTAATCCATTTACATTTAAAGTAATTACTGATAAGGAAGGACTTAGTTCTGTCATTTGGCATTTTTTCCTATGTGCACACTTACAGGTTTTTTTGTCCCTTTTTTCCTGCCCTACTGTCTTATTTTGTATTTGGTTGATTTCTTTGTAGCGAAATATTTAAATTCCCTTTTATTTCCTTTCGTGTATGTTCTAAAGCTATTTTCTTTGTAGTTACCACAGAGATCACATATAATATCCCAAGGATATAACATTCTAGTTTAAATTTTTTTTTAACATTTGTTTATTATTGAGAGACAAAGACAGACAGAGCATGAGCAGGGGAGGGGCAAAGAGAGAGGGAGACACAGAATCCGAAGCAGGCTCCAGGCTCTGAGCTGTCAGCCCAGAGCCCGGCGCGGGGCTCGAACTCACGGACCGCGAGATCATGACCTGAGCTGAAGTCGGATGCTTAACCGACTGAGCCACCCAGGCGCCCCCATTCTGGTTTAAATTTATACCAGTTCGACATCAACAACACACAAAACCCCGCTCTTTTACGGCTCTGTCCTCACCCCCTTTGGTGGTTAGTGTCACAGAATTACATCTTTATACATGTGTGCCAAGGGGAGTGGGTGGGGCACGGATAGCTGCTACTGTGCCAAGAGCTAAAAATGACCAAAGTTAACTGCAATTGATCATCCAAGCCTTCCCCTGACCGTTGCAGGGCCTTCAGTAGACTCCAGAGTTCTGGAATGGTTAGGTCAGACAGATTCTGTCGGTACAATTGTTGCCTGGATAGGGAGAGAGATTTCTGGTGCTTTCCATGCTACTCTCTTCCCAGACTCTCAGTGGTGTTTTCTTTTATAAAAACTTCTTTCTGGAGAGTGGAACCTACAATACTTGAGGCCCTTCTTGCTAAGGACATCTCTAATACAAGAGACAATTTTGCATTCCCTTTTCATTAAAAATCTGTACCTGGATAAAATTTCCAATCGGATCCCAAATCCATTGTGGATGGTCACACGAAACTCTTCATATTGTCTCCACCATCACCCACGGCCCCCCTCTTGGCATTTATCCTCTGAAGAATGAAGTTCTGTTGTGCTCATTTCATGCAAATTATCACCGGCAGAAGAGAGGAGGAAGATTTCCAGATAGAGAGACCCACAAGATAACCCCAGAGTCGTTAGACACAGGAGCAGATGTACAGGGCGTGCTTGACTCATACTCAAGGTTGCATAAGTAAGATTTCAAAAGTAATATTACTCTGAAGTCCTCAACCTAGGGTATAGGGTTCCTGGCTGGGAAAGAAGAACTGTATCACTATTGTGTGTGGGTTTTTTTTTTTTCTTAAAATTTTTAACATTACTTGCCCGTGTATCTCCGCCTTCTTTTTTGCAGGAAACATTATTTCCTTCTTCTGCACACCAAGTTTCTACCTCCAGATCTCTTCGGTTCAGTTGCTGGGAAGCCTGACGCTCCAGGGCCACTTGGGAGAAGCCATCCACTGGTGAGTTGGGGGTGCTTTTATTTATTTATTTATTTATTTTCATTATTTTATGAGTCACAGGCTGAAAGCATCCCGACGCTGGAGATGTAGGGATGGGAGCACCCTGAGGGCTGCATAGCGCAGGCTCCTGGGGGATCGTCTTCATGGAGGAAAGGGTGGAGGGTGGTGTGTGCACCAGGATCATTGGAGAGGCTCTGATAGCAGTGAACAAGTTCAGAGCAGGCTGAGACCCCCCCGCCACGGGGCTCAGGTGAGAGGACAGCACGCTGAAGAAGACAGGAGAGTAAGGATGCTCAGGCTACTGCCCCTCACTCTGCCCTCCCCAGCCTCCAAGGGCTTGAAAGAACTGGAACTTTCTATCCCAAATACTACCCGCCCCCATATTCCATATATGTGATGGTCCAGGCCCTGAACCACAATGGGCCCCTTGCCTCAATTCAGGACAGCCACGGAGGCTGAAGTGAGGAACCTCTTTTTCTGAGAGGCGGCTTTTTACTGATTCAGGATGTGTCCTGCCACTTGAAAGCGGCACCTTGCTAAGGGTCTGCTGTGCTAGGAGCTAGGTGTGCTGGAGTGACTGGGGAGAAGCAGTGTGGGAAGAGGCGGCTGGTAGTTGAGAAGCCAGTGCAGGTAAACAAAGCGGAGAGGAGGCAAGGTGGAAGCGGTCAGAGCAACCGACTTCCTCGCGCTCCGTCCTCTCCCCCCACCAACCCCCGTTCTGAACCACCAGAGGGTCTGGGTTGTGCATTTCTGACTACAGACTTCCTGTGTGCTGCTGAAACCCAGCCTTTGAGAACCATGGGTCTAGTGCACACTTTCCTACCCAGATGAGGAGGCTAACCCTGTGGTTGGTTACAGAACAGCCCAGAGGGTGTGCTGCAGTTAAGGGGCTGTGTGCAAGGACCCCCCGTATCAGGTCTCCCGCTGCATTACCTGGGAGGCTAGTCCACAGTGGGGCATCGCGTTTCTCGGTAGCTTGCAGCCTGCTAGTTTTCTGTCATTCATTTACCGAAATGGTATTTCTTCAGCAGCCTCTGGGTGCCAGCTCAGGCTCAGGGGCACCAAGATCTCTCTTTGCAAGGCGAATCCCTAAGCCCTCATGGCATTTATTTTCTAGTAAAGTGTGTGTGTGTGTGCGCGCGCGCGTGCGCGCATGAGTGGGGCATGCTCGTGTGGGTGAGTATGTGGGCTTTAAAATTTTTTTTTCTTTTTCAACGTTTTTTTTTATTTATTTATGGGACAGAGAGAGACAGAGCATGAACGGGGGAGGGGCAGAGAGAGAGGGAGACACAGAATCGGAAACAGGCTCCAGGCTCCGAGCCATCAGCCCAGAGCCCGACGCGGGGCTCGAACTCACGAACCGTGAGATCGTGACCTGGCTGAAGTCGGACGCTTAACCGACTGCGCCACCCAGGCGCCCCTAGTGTGTGGACTTTAAATCCAAATGCCAAAGAATTTCTGTTCAAGGCATGCAAGGATACCTAGAAAATCATTACCGGTTCTGCGTCCGTCTCTGTGCTCCCAGCCTGGGAAGAGAAGCTCCTGGGGTCTTTTTGTAACTGAAGAGCCCCACGTTCAAAATCCAGCTCAGCTATCACTTGTCCTGTGAATCTGGGGAAGTCGTTTAACTCATCCGTGCCCGAATTTCGAATTTCTGCACCGTAAAGATGTGTGAACACGTGCTCACAAAATTATTGCAAAGAGTAAATTAAGTAACGCGGGCAAAGCACGTAGCACAGCACCTGGAGCTCGAGGAGCCCTCAGTTTAACGATCCCAGGTGTCATCCTTGTGGTGGATACGTTGCTTTTCTTCCCAAACTGGATTAGAGGTCTTATTTAGTTGCTGCAGATTTCCAACAACCTGGCTTAGTGAAATGCAAAACCTAGAAGTATCGATCACAAGAGGAACTGAAGAATAAGGGCGTGCACAAAGAGAAAAACCAATTCCCAGCCACTACCAGGAAAAAGAATCGGCTTTCTTGGGACTATTGATGGCAGACGTCAGACTCGGTATAAAGACTTTCACGCAGTCTCTCAACGGACATTTCTTGGTGCCTCCTGTAGCCAGAGGCTATCCTAAGAGCCGGGGACAGGAACGTGAGCTGGACCTCAGGGAGCACACGATGGAAGGTCGTGTGATAAGGGCCTGTCGAGAGGCAAGCACGGTTTCATGAGCCGCTCTCGTAAATCGATTGAGAGGGGAGGAGGGTTTGGCTTCACGGAGAAAGGGAATCGGAGCAGCTGGCGAATGGCCGGGAGCTCCCGAGTCTGGGCCAGGACGTTGCCTCCGAGGTCCCGCCACATACAGATCGCGGGGCTGCTGGCGGCTTTCAGCAGAGGAGCGCCCGACCTCCCAGCGCGGGGCCGGGCAAGACAGGTGGAAACGGAGCGCGGTCAGGAGCAAGCCGCGTGCAAGGCGAGACGACGGCAACGATGGGGCGAGCAGCGTCCGAGGCCAGGCGGTAGGGGCCGGCAGGGGGGCCAGACCCGGAGGTGTTTACGGGGTGAAGTTCACTAGACGCGACAGAGGTCGCACAGAGCCCGTCCCCGCTCCGGGCGCTGCGCTGGGTCCTCCTCTTCGCTCATCCCTGCGGCCACTCAGCAGAGTTAGCGTTTTATACATTAAGAGACTGCGAATCGAGGAAGTAGTTCGCCCCAAATACCACAACTCGTAAGTCGTCGGAGGCAGGATTTGAACCTGGGTCTGTTGGTTCCTGAGGCCTGCTCCCAGCCTTCTGAAGACGAGGGACCCGGGACAATGCCCACTCCCGCTTCCTGGACAGTCAAGGATAGTAGCCAAGATAAGGAGTCCACCAGCTGAAGGATGCTTCCGGGGGTGTTGGGTTCGGGGTGGGTTGAATGTGAGGTACCTGTATCATGCCCACTTTGCTCACTGCTGTATCTCCACTACCTAGAATGCAGCATGGCTCACAGTAGGTGCTCAATAAATGCTGGTCAAATGAGTGAGTTCCTATATGCAGGAGGCAGTAGGAAACTCAACTCTGAGAGGCAGGGGTTGAAAGTTGAGACCAGAAGCCAGCGCTTCGGGCAGCATTGGCATTCGGGGGGCCTAAAGCCCTGTGATTACACCACACAACTCAGCAAGAACTTTGGGGTGAGAATAAAGAGACAGCGGGTAACGAGGCGGCAGCCAAGGATCGTGCCCGGGGATTCTCGCAGTGTAGACGGGGGAAGGAGACACCAACGAAGAAAATGAGTAAGAAGGTGCGAGACAGGCACTAACCTCCCGGAAGCCAGGCGAGTTTGTGTTTTTTCCCAAAGGTTTAGCAATTTTGAGAGAGGGAGGGAGAGGCAGGGAGAGAGAGAGAGAGAGAGAGAGAGAGAGAGAGAGAGAATCCCAAGCAGGCTCTGTGCCATCAGCACAGAGCCCGAGGCGGGGCTCGACCTCACAAACCGAGATCACGACCTGAGCTGAAATCAACAGTAAGATGCTCAACCGGCTGAGCCCCCCAGGAGCCCCCAAAATGAGTTTTAAATGGAAGAACCTAACAGACGGGTCCGATGCTCAACGAGGATAAGGCTGAAGGAGAGCCAGGCATTGAGCAGTGGGATTGTCGCTGCAATCTTGCAGGAGAAGCTTTGGCAGGGTGACGGAGGCAGAGGGTGGACAGGGGTGTCGGCGAACACGCTCTCGGTTTTCCAGCCACATAGCATGGAACGCACCGTAGCTTACAAACAAGGCTTTATTTATTTATTTTTTTCAGAGGATGGGCTGTTCAAGGCCAGGGCTTACGACTTGGTGATGCTGGGACTCTGCCTCGTTTTGCTCCGTCCTCTGAGTCTTTTGTTCAGGGTCCCAAGCACCAGGCCCTCACAAGACAAGCCGCAGAGGCAGAAGGGGCCGGGGGGCCAGGCCTTCTCCTGCTTCTCTCCCGTCAGAGGAGAGCATTACCAGGGACCCCCTGGCAGGGTCCCCTTCCACAATGCCATCCAGGAGGGGGTCACGGGCCTGCGCAGCCCGGCAGAGGAGGTAGGAAAAAAAAGCAAGTATGCAGCGAGGGGAAACTTTGTAATAAGAGTCGGGCTTTGTGGGAAGGCCCGGGGTGTTGAGAAACAGCCGGAGGGTCGACAAGCGGTATCTGCTGGAAGGAGTAAAGGGAAGTGATCGACGGGCGCGTGCGAGCTTTCAAGGTGACGGCCGCGAAAGGAAGACGAACGCTGGGCCGGGGCTGGAGGGGAGCGGGGACATTTTTAATATCGGGGACGGCGGCCGATACGCGGTGTGTGATCATTTCGTCCTCTGATTACAGGGCGGAGGAAGATGGGCGACAACGACACGCTCGCCCTGTTCAGCTACCCCATGCTGTCCACACCCCAGTCTCTGTTCACAACCGGCAACCAGGGGGGCAACGAGGAACCCACCACCAATTACGACTACGATTACAGCGCACCGTGCCAGAAAACCGACGTGAGGCAGAACGCGGTCCGGCTCCTGCCTCCGCTCTACTCACTCGTGTTCCTTTCCGGCTTCGTGGGCAACCTGCTGGTCGTCCTCATCCTCATCAACTGCAAAAAGCTGAGGGGCATGACTGACGTCTACCTGCTCAACCTGGCCATCTCCGACCTGCTCTTCCTGTTCACCCTCCCCTTCTGGGCCCACTATGCCGCCAACGGGTGGGTCTTCGGGGACGTGATGTGTAAGACGGTCACCGGACTCTATCACGTCGGGTACTTTGGCGGAAACTTCTTCATCATCCTCCTGACCGTCGATAGGTACCTGGCTATCGTCCACGCTGTGTTCGCTTTAAAGGCCAGGACGGTCACCTTTGGGGCGGTGACAAGCGCGGTCACCTGGGCGGTGGCCGTGGTCGCCTCTCTGCCGGGGTGCGTCTTTAACAAGTTGCAGTGGGAGGACTCTTTTTACTCCTGCCGCCCCTCTTTCCCACCAGGATGGAAGACTCTCCACGCGGTCACGAGGAGCGTCTTGGGCCTGGTCCTGCCCCTGCTCGTCATGATCGTCTGCTACTCGGCCATCCTCAGGACCCTGTTCCGGTGTCGGCAAGAGAAGAAGAAGCACAGGGCCGTGAAGCTCATTTTCGTGATCGTGATCGCTTACTTTCTCTTCTGGGCCCCCAACAACATCGTCCTCCTGCTGAGCACCTTCCCGGAGTCCTTTGGCCTCAATAACTGCAGTAGCTCCAACAGACTGGACCAAGCCATGCAGGTGACGGAGACCCTGGGAATGACGCACTGTTGCATCAACCCCATCATCTACGCCTTCGTCGGGGAGAAGTTCAGAGGCTACCTCTTGGTGTTCTTCCAAAAGCACATCGCCAGGCGCTTCTGCAAACGTTGTCCTGTCTTCCAGGGAAAGGTCCCCGACAGAGCGAGCTCGGTTTACACCCGATCCACCGGAGAGCAGGAAATCTCTGTCGGCTTGTGACCTGGGCCAGGTGTTTGTACACAGCCTAGGGGCGGGAGTGACCCTTTTAAAAAGGAAGTTACTGTCATAGAGGGCCTAAGAGTCATCCGTGTACCTGGCATCTATCCCACCATTTAAGCCCGTCACGTCTGGAAAGCCGAATCAGTATATGTTGATGACATAGCAAACCTCCTCACCTCCCCTCCGCACACAACAACTTATTGGCAAACTCTTCCTTTGCTGCAAAAATTTCATTATAGAAAAAAAAAAATCCCCAGAGAACTGCTAATTCTTGAGTTCGGTGACCCGAACAGGAATAACAAAACCAATCAAGATGCATATTGTACGGTTTCTGATCTGCTCGAGGCAACAGGTGCAGGTTGTTAAGTGCGCTGAAAGCAGGTGCTTGTGGGTGATCTGTTAAGAAACGAGCTCTTCCAAGAGCGATCTCCCCTCCAGGGTGTGGTTGGTAAGTTCCACAGGCGATCAGGACCGGGTGAGAGCTGCGAAGGCTTCTTCAGGGAGAAGGGGAGAGGGGAGGAAGGTTAGCTCCAGGCCTGCAGGCCCCGCACATGTGCGGGGCGGCTCTGCGGTGGGGGGTCGGCACTGGCTGGGGAGAGGCAAGGCGAGCCCGGACCATAGGGAGCGTGCACAGCACCGCTTGTCAAAGCCAGAGCAGAGCGGGGGGGTGGGGGGGTGGGGGGGGTGGGATCCCCGGCCACTGTCGCCGGAAGCTCGTTGCGCGGCCGAACGATGGCCTAGAAAGGTGAGCCTTTAGGTAGGGTGAGGCGAGGAGGCTTTCCATGTAGGTCCGGGCACCAGGGATGGGGACACCCTTGCAGCATGCAGGGTGAGAGTCCACAGAACTTGGGGTGGATTGGGGTTGGAGGTGAGGGGCCGTGGGGAGGCAGAGAGAACCTCTAGGCTTCACGCACGAGGACTGGAGATGCCCTTAAGGAAACCTCAGGCATGGAAAGGGGCCAAGGCTTGCATCGAAACCAGGAGGGGCTGGTGGAGGAGGAAGCCTCTGGTTTTGCCAGCTTGAACACAGCCTTCCGTAGACAGAACCTGGGCTCTCTAGCGGTGGCCGCTCCTGCCTTTGGAGTTGTCCTTCCCAACCCAGCTCCAACCAGGGGGCATCTCCAGGGGGCTTGGAAGCACTAGCTCTAGGAAATGCGGGGAGTCTGAGGCCTGGGAACACGTTTACGTCAGCTATGACATCCAGGGGCCGACTGTGTAGTTAATGAACATCCAGGGCTTTTATAAGCACTAAGCAAAGACGCCCCAGAGCGGGGAGGGAAGCCGGGATGACTAAGTTTCTGCCCGCCCAGGACACACCACTGCCTCCCTAAGCGTTGTCTTCCGGAGTTAACTCGCAGTGGGCAGAGGGGAGAAGGGACAGATTCATTTGGAAACAGGCCGCCTCCAGCTGACTCAGCTCCGAGAAGCACCATTTTACAGAACTCGGTGTTTCAGGCTGAGTGTGGTGGCTTTAGACTCTCCTTCCAGACGCCTTCTCCCGACACACCCCCGAACACTAAGGGATCTATTCCTTTCAAAGACAGGGTCATGATTTCGTGTTTGGCAGTTGCTCCTTGTACTTTTTTGTACCTGCCCGAGATGGTTTGGAATCCAGGAGGAGCTAAGACCATTTGGGAGAGATTAGGTGAGGCAACATCAAAGCAGTGAGACTCCCTCACAAGATGAAGGTATCAGAATAATAAGAGGTGCTACTGATGTTTCTCAGCTCTAAAATATGACCTTGAGAGCGCGGGTGTCGACGGGGAGCAACCGGAAGTGCTCTTGAGGTCCTTTCAAGGGCACAAGTATCCTATGACCTAGCCTCTGGGTCAACTCAAAGGCACTCTGATATCTTTGTGTGTCGAATACATATCATGTATGATGTGATCCGGCTCATGTATATAGAAAGTTACAAGTCGCTTGGAAGAAAACCCTTGCCTAATAAAAAATCACGCTGTAAAATAACTGACTGTATTCCTATTCTTTCCGTCAAGCGCACATGTAGAGAATAGCGTTCAAAACTGCGAAAGCTGGGCGCCTGGGTGGCTCCGTCGGTTAAGTGTCCAACTTCGGCTCAGGTCACGATCTCGTGGTCCATGAGTTCGAGCCCTGAGTCAGGCTCTGGGCTGACGGCTCAGAGCCTGGAGCCTGTTTCCGATTCTGTGTCTCCCTCTTTCTCTGACCCTCCCCCGTTCATGCTCTGTCTCTCTCTGTCTCAAAAATAAATAAATGTTAAAAAAAAATTTAAAAAAAAAAAAAAGAAAAGAAAATGAGGAAGGCCTAGTGGCTCCTGGGTGGCTCAGTCGGTTAAGCATCTGACCCTTGATTTTGGCTCAGGTCATGATCTCATGGTTTGTGGCTTCAAGCCCTGAGTCGGGTCCTGTGCTGATGGTGCAGAGCCTGCTGGGGATTCTCTCTCTCTCTCTCTCTCTCTCTCTCCTCTGTCTCTGCCCCTCCCCTGCTCACATGTGCACATGTGCATGCTCTCTCTCTCTCTCTTAAAATAACTAAACTCAAAAAAAAAAAATTACAACAAGAAAATGAAGAAGACATACGATGTCACAGTCTGGTCCTTGCTCTGTAATCCCAAACTGCAGACACATGACACGCGAGGACCTGGCTGCTATAAAGGTTGCTTTTCTTTCATTTCAAATCCCTTCTAAACACTTGCCTGCAATTGCAGTGATGACCATGGATTTGTCCTTGACGTTTGGCTTTCTGTGCACGTGTCTCTTATCCCCAGAGAGAACAGGTGCTCCGGGAAGAGGCGACTGGTCCAGGTGGCATTTACAGCCTGGGGCAGGCTGGTCTTGAGACCAGGTAGGTCACGGTCCTACTTGGACATCTGGGCAATGAGCAGAAGGCAAGGGCAGCTGGAGCCGATTTTAGGACAGCTTTTCCCTAACAACCGGAAAGACCGCCTTCCACCTCCCTCAACAGGAGGCGTGACCCAAGGAAGGGAGGGAGGGGACTGAGTCGGAGTAGAGGAAGGGTCCGGGGCACAGTTCCATCCACCCCACGCCCCTCACTTTGTGGGCCCTCCTGGGCCCACCCCTCCTCTGCCCCAGTCCTTAGATTGACAAACAGGCTTGAACTCATCGTGACTTTCAGGTTCTGACTCCACTCATCACATCCTGGGTGAAGACACCTGCTCCCCGGCCCAGGGGCGTCTGTCATGGAGGGAGTTACGTATGGGCCATGGATAAAGTCCAAGTAAAGTGAACGCCCTGAGCGGGGAGGGAAAATGTGCAAATTCAGACGTTAGGATTCCATTCACACGTGTATCCCAAGGTTCCAAATACCTCCAGCTAAAAGGCTACCAGTCTTGCCACTGTTGTGATTAAATCAGGTCACTGCTTTCCTATCCAAGGGAAGGACAGACTCCTCAACAGGAACATCGGAGTTTCATTGTTGACTTTCTGATGAAGGCACAGGAGATGTGGAGATGTGAGCAAGGGGCGTGGCCGTGAACGACCGGACTGCTCTCCTTCATAGCTTGTTCGCACCCCCCTGCTTAACCTGAGGGCGTGGAGAACTCCCACACCCTGAGATGCTGCCGCTCCTGGGAGGAAACAGAGTTCTTTTGCTTTTAAGTAAAACTCACTATGAAAGTCTTGCTTGGTATTTTCCTGAAACACAGCCAAACTTGAATATTTCTGTAGATAGATGTTGCGACGGTGCCGTATTTTCTTTTCTTTTCTTTTTCTTTTTAGATAGAGAGACAGCGAGAGTGAGCACATATGGGGAGGGGCAGAGGGAGAGAGGATCTTAAGCAGGCTCTATGCCCAGTGCAGAGCTCAACGCTGGGGCTTGACCCCACGACCCCGGGATCATGACTTGAGCCGAAATCATGAGTCGGACGCTCAACTGACTTGAGCCAGCCGGGCGCGCCGTGCCTTAGGTTTTTTTCTACAAGCGTTTTTTCCAAGGCTTACTTATTTTTGGCTTCATATTGTCACTACTTTAATTTGATCATAAGTTCTGTGTCATTGTGGTTCCGTCATGTTTCAGGAACTTGGTTGAGTTTCTTTTTCTTACGATGGTAACTCGTGTTTTAAACGCTTGAAAGTCTTTTCAAAGGAGCCAACGGAAAGGCCTTCCGGGCCATTGAGAATCTTGGGCTATACTGCCTCCCTGTGGTCACCTTGGTATCCAACAAGGGCGTCCCGCAGCCAGCCTCGACTCGGGTGGTTATACATTCGGCTGTTTCATGTTGGGCTCTGCTGCTACCATTCCTGCTGTGGACAAGAGGTGGTTCCACAGCAGCTCAGGGTAGATAATGCCCAACTCACTGGCCAGGAAAAGGAGCGCCAGTGGAGGACACACGTCGATGCCTGCGGTGAACTGAAGGTCCCAGCTCTCTCAGGCCAAACTCTGCAGATCCCTGAACCCACAGCCTTGCAACAAAGTCACAAAGTGTTTTGTGACAAAGCACTTTTCGCCATCCAATGCCACGAGCCCGTCTCGCGTGACTCCCATGTGTATCCAGCAATGGCTGTGGGTACCTAGTATTCGAAGCGATCCAATACGGTTGCCACGTGGGTGGATTTCTTCTTTATTCACACTTCCATTTCTCTATCACTGTGTTCCCCTCACTTCGATTCCTCTTAATGGCATCGCACCATCTGAAAACAGGAAGGTTGCTGAGGACCAGTCAGCCTGACCCCTCACTTTATGGAAGAAGAGCGGAGCCCGCCCCCAGTGCCAGACGCACTGGCACAATAGGCATGTGGCATAACAGGCCTGGCCTCAGTTTTCACAGGCTCCCCCCATTGCACCTGCCAGCCAGCGATGCGCCATTGAGGAGAGCAGGTGGGAGCCGTTCTAACTCCCCTGACAGCCGGCACCCACGTCGATGAGGGACAGCGGGATCCGGAGTTCGTGGGGACCATGCTTACGGCCGCTGGCTTAATCTTAGCTGCTCCTTGGAGTTACCTGGGGGAGTTGGGCAAATAGTGACACCCAGCCCCACCCGCAGCACTCCGATTTGATGGGTCTGCAGAAGCTCGGAGTTCTAGGAAGCTCTAAGCGCAGCCAACTTTGGAAACCACTGCTTACAGCCCATCAAGCCGAGCCTGCTGGATGCGGGCTGCTGTCTGAGGAAGAATCCTGCCGGCCTGGAAGTGGGTGGCACACAGGCCAGGAAGGGTCCGGATTCGACTCCTCGATCGTCCCAGCGGAACATTAACTCCGTCTTCCCCCAAGCTGGTCTTTAAAGCATATGCATCTAGCTTTAGT